CACGCCGTCCAAAGAGGTGCATTTTAAATATTTGTTTTTTCCTGGGCCTCTTGCAGATCTGAAAGTTCTTTTGCCTTGTCAGGTGGCCAACTTGAACTCCTACTGGCAAAACCTCTTCCACCATCAGGACCTGGGAGTGGCTTTCGACGACAGTCTGATGACTTTAGCGGAGAGCATCGGCAGACGCTCGCTGAAGGCTCTGAGCAACAGCAGCGGCTCATGCGACTTGTTTCTGAGCAGCCTGCAGCAGATCAACAGCTTCCACTACAACGACCACTACAAGTACAGCCTGCTTCTGCTGGCCAGTGGCGTCGAAGTGGCAGTGAAGCCGATTAATAAGCTGTTTGTGAAACCCGGCCCGCTAGTGAAGCATTTGGCCACTTTGCTGGTGAGCACCGAGTTCGATCAGAAGGAGCAACTGAGCAGGAACTTTCTGCGCAATCTGTCGCCATATTCTGATCCGGTGTTGGTTTACAAGTTCAGCGCCTTGAAGGGGGCGAAACTGTACAACTTGACCTGCCTTTGGGTGGATCCCATTGGCGTGCTCAGGGATGTTTCGCTGTTTTCTTTGGACGCAAACAACCTGGTTGGGCATGTGAAGGCCGGCATGAAGCAGCCGCATTTGCCTGGTAAGTCGCCCGAATTTTACAGAGAATGGTGGCAGAGGAGGTTAAGGCGGTTTTTTTCAGGAGTTTGGAAAGTAAAGCTCCTGCATAAGGACTCACTTCTGGCTCAACTCTCATTCCCCATCTTGCCACTGCAGTTTTTGTCCGGAAGGCCCATTAGTAGCAATGAGGTTTCCGCGCTGCATCTCAGCCTGGGCCAGTCGGCAGGCCCCATTTGGCCCAATTCCGATTACGCCAAATTCCTGCCCATGGCGGCTCACCAGCAGACGCTACTGGAAAAGGCCAACAGAAACGCTCAGAGGCGCAACGCCAGCCTCCTGGCATGGATCGACAGTCTAGTGGGCGTTTTTTACGCGATCGAACGCGTTTGTACCACAGCAGACAGTCCAGTGGGTGCCTGTGGGCTAAAAATCGCACCTTGCAGGACTACGCAATGGAGCAGCCTGGCTCCTGATCCGAAAAGTGCCATTGGCGACGTAAACGCCACCACCGGCATGTTTGATGTGTGGTGATCAATCTAGACAATTCTAGTTACTAAATCCTGAATAGTTATCGTTATGAGCTGATCGAGATCTGCTCAGGCTCACCTCTACGCAATATTCGCTCATCCTGGGCGAAAGCAAACTTAGCCAATAAGTCTTGTGATAAAAATGGTGCTCAATTCTATGATCTAAGTGTGATGATTGTAGCCGAGTCGGAGTTGAGGTCATTTTCGAATTTATGATGTTAACAACATTCCACCGTGATGCCATTAATCTGTTTATTGCCATGCCATAGTTTTCGGTTCCTTAATGATTATTAGTATTAAGCGACCAAAGAGAGTGTAGAGTCATTTTAGTTCCGTAAGGATATTTTTGTATTCGATACTCAATTGATTGGGCAAGGAGTGTGTAGTTTAATCAAGAAAAATCGAAGTTTCCTGAGAATTGTCGCAGTTTTTTTGGGGGGGATTCACCGGTATAATAAGGCTGAGTTTGACTCTGACGACTGACTAAAAACTATTTTCGGTAGTAAACGTATCTCGTGGCTGCTTCCTGGTTGCGGTTCCAGCACGACTACCTTGATTTTTTTTATATATATATGTAACACTTCCTATTCGATTACTACACCTGATATTTGAGGCGCGCCCCGTAAAACTATAAAATTGACGCAAATATTTCAACTCACCATAAGTCCGCGCTTAACGCTTTAAGTACATGTATGAGTTTCATAGACAGTCAATGAACTTCCCTCATCGCTGAGCATTTTAGCAGCTGCTCCTGATATTAACGCGTAACGCTAAACTCCTGTTCCGGATATTTGCTCGCTACTTCCTTAAACATTCTGCTCTCCTGATATAAATCGAAGGTTTTGTGTGCCAGCAAAATTTCAGCAATAGAGAGCATTTACAACGATAAACAAATAGCGTAACGCTAACTAAACTCCTGTTTCGGATATTTGCTCGCTACTTCCTCAAACATTCTGCTCTCCTGATACAAAGCGAAATCTTCATGTGCCGCCAATAGAGATCATTTACGACAAAAAAAATAGCGTAACTCCTGCTCCTGATCCTCCTGCTTTTCCTCTGGTGGTATCCATCCATTTGCCGTTCAACGTCTCCCGCTTTTATGTCTGCCTGTGGACATCAATAGAGGGATACATGAAGACGAACGATTTTGCACATTTCCAATCAAAACTTCTTCTTCATGTTCGGCGCTGTCTGCCTCTCCATTCCGTCTTTCTTCATTGTTGCGCTGATCCTCACCAGCGAGCGCTGAAATCCCTCAAATAATATTATTCATTTTATCCGTTGACTGTACCCATTATTTGCAAATCGTTTAGCTGGTGGGAGATATCTCGGTTTATGGCAGACTTTCTCTTCGGTCTTCAGTAGTATCTCCAACACCAGCGATTAAAATGCGCTCAAATCGAACCATCTGCTAGCGGCGCGCGTGTTCATGAATGAAATCTGCGATTTATAGGAAATCTTCCAGCCAACTAAAAAAAATTATGCTGGTTCGGCCATAAATTCCCGCTGTGTTGGAATGTGTGCGAATACGTGATCAGTCCAAGACTTTGTGATAAAATGCGGCGTTTGGTGAAGATTGTTTTCGTGTTGGGATTCTACACCTCTTGTGCCATTCGGCCCGGTTAGTATGAGTTTTTTCCAACCCGCCAAAACCGGTTAAATTCAGGACTTAAAAGGGAACCAGAAGAAACCTTCTGCTGGTTCTTGCAACACCATTAGCTACCAAAACAGCTTAAGGCGAACGCTTTGACTGCACAATGCCGCCATTCAAATCGGCCAATTATGCCTAGTTTGGAACCCTGGAATTCTTGTGATTTTCGTCGGTTCTGCACACTTCAAGGCCAAACGTGGGAACGCATCAATAAAATCCAAAAAAAAACTTTTGGAATTTTCTCTTTATAAATAGACGAGGCCAACGGATTGCACACAGATGCAGTTTCACGTCCATAATCATAACTTATTACATTACGCGGTCTGCATTCAGGCCAATGGCACACTCGCTTGTTAGTTAGTTGTCTATGCAGCTCTTTTTCATAAAAATCGCACTTTTGCTATGCTGAAGAGCTCCAAAGACTTGAACGTTTCACGCTAACCTTGTTCCAAATTACCAAGCTTTAAAATCCGCACGGATTACCTTTAATACCCCATACCAAAACCATTCGTTAAATACAACCTGCCTGATCGGAACACGGAGAAAGTAGCAGCAATTTATAGGTGAACTGGTTAGCGCTCTTAATTAACCACGAACTGTTTAAGTGTTTAGTACTGTATTGCGACCAGTTTGCATTTCTGTTGAACTTCTGCTTGAAAATGCCTCTTCAGTACTGCGAATGAAAAAGTGATACGCCACTGACTTTCCGAAAATTAAACACTGTTTCTCAATTCTCTGTTTGGACGAACAACAGTTTCTCTTCTACGATGCGCCGTTTTCAGAAAAATACCAGAATCGATGTATTAAGGCCTCTATCGAAGCAACGAAATGATCAAGTATTTGCTAAGTTTTCGCTCTAAATTTCTAGAACTCGATAAAACCCAATTGTTACAGAATAGTTCCATGCATCAATAAGCTACAAAAATTCAACTACAAATACTCTATGAAATGAATGCTCTATCGAAAATGCTCTATCGGAAATGCTCTATCGAAAAGGTCCTTAGGCAGGGGCGGATCCAGCTTTAAAGTCAGAGGGGGGTTATGTAGAAAAAATACAGTCTTCTGTGGTTTATGAAATTAGAAAAATGATGGTCGTTTTGTGCAAGGGTGGCGCAAGATTAATGCAAAATTTCATGTTTTCCGTCCCGTTTTGCATGTTTCTCGGAAGCAAAATGAGGAAGAACGCTCG